CGTTAATGGAAAACGGGAATATGTGATTGTTCCAGAGCATGTCGATTCATCTTTGATTTGATAGATAAGGACAAAGCTTTTCCAGAGTTCATCAATGCCATTATCCAATGTGAAAAGGTATTAACTGACCTCACAAAAAGGTTTGCTCATCTATTTTCAGGGCTTGCATTCAACACTACCGTAAATGGTATAACTTATTCAATTCCTCCAGACATTATCAAAATGCTTATTGGTAATGTGACTCAAAAACAGTGCTTGGAATTGTTAGCACATCATCACTTCAAGAAACCTATAGGAGAACTCACAACTGATCAAAGAACAGTATGTAGAAAGTTCTTTGAAGCAAGGGGATGGGATAAAGAAAGTGTTCGGAAGGCAATCAATAGTTTGATCAAAGAATAATTTCTAGACATGATGTTAAGCTTGATGAACAAGTCAAGCTTGTGAAATTTGTATTTTTTTTTTAAAATTTTCAAAAATATTCACAAGTCTGAAATACGTCACCTCCTCCTTCACTGATTTTCATCATCAAAACAACACAAAACAAACAACAACAAATAAACAACACATTACAACATCAAGTAGAACACAACAGAATATCGATAATTAACTTTGGAGTAACTTTATGCAAAATCGTCAGCGATGACGTCAAAAAAAGCGTCAATCCACCATCAGGAATGACGAAATAAAATGAGCGGGTAAATAATTAACCAAAAAAAATGACTCTACACAAAAGTACTCTTATTCGAAACAATAGTTTATTTCCCGATGATATTTGTTTCGAAATTATAGATTACTTTGATTCTCCATTTATCATCAAAACATGTTCTTTAATTTCACATCAATTTTTACGTGTCATAAAATTATATTCGAATCTTGTGGTCAATTTCCGAATGATTACTTCAGAACAAATTAATCAATTTTCAAAAAGTCAATTTTTAGGAAATATAAGAAAGGTTAGAATAGCAAGTCATCAAATTGAAGGAGAAATAGGTGTTAAATTATTGGAAACTTTATCAGAAATGAAAAATTTAACCTATTTGAATATTGATTGGAATAAAATTTCAGAAAAGTCTAAAATTATTCTTTCTGGAATGAAACACTTGAAAATACTTGCTGCTAGCGGATCTGAAATTGATAAATTTAGTCGATTGGATCAATTGACTGAACTAAATGTCAATTGGAATCGTTTAAAAGATGAAGATGTAGAATCTATTGGAAATTTGAAAAATTTAACTTTATTAGAATTGAGTGGAAATGAAATTTCTAAAAATTCAATGAAATTTATTAGTCAGCTCTCAGAATTAACAAAACTTTCTGTGGGATTGAATTCAATTGAAAATGAAGGAATCAATTCAATAATCAATCTTTCAAAATTGACTTGTCTAAACATTATTAATGCAAATATTACTTCAGAAGGTGTCAAATTAATTGGAAAACTATCAAACTTAACCATTCTCGATATTAGTGGAAATTTAATTGGTGCTGAAGGAGGTCAATACATTGGAGAATTGAAGAATCTCAAAACACTTGTGGCAAGTGATAATGAACTTGGAGTGCTTGGAGCAAAGAGCATTGGAGAAATGAATCAATTAACTTCACTTTGTTTGATAGGCAATTCTATTGGAAATGAAGGAGCCAAGTATATTTCTCAATTAAGCCAATTGACTGATCTTGATTTGGGAAAAAATGAAATAGGTGATGAAGGATTTAAACTACTAGCAAAACTTGAAAAGTTGACAAATTTAGATTTGGTTTCTAATAACATTTCTGATTTGAGTTCGACTGGTCAATTGGGTTTATTAAACTGCCTTGATGTCAGAAAAAACAAAATAGAGGACAAGGGCATAAGAAATATTTGTCAATTGAGTGGATTGCAATCACTTCGTCTTTGCGCAAATCCAATCACTTCAGAAGGAGCCAAAATATTATCAGAAATGGTTCAATTGACCAATTTATCAATAAGTGAGACCCATATCGATGACGAAGGAGCCAAATTTATAGCACAATTGACAACTCTGAAATATCTTGATATAAGTACTAAAAGAATAACCGCGAATGGTGTCAAATTTATTTGCCAATTATCGAAACTAATCTCACTCGATATTAATTGGAATAATATTGGAGATGAGGGAGTGTTATATATTAGCAGAATGCAACAATTAGAAACACTAAATGCTGTTTATTGTAATATTGGATTGGAAGGCGCAAAACTCTTGAGTGAAATGGAACAATTGACCGTACTTGATGTGAAAATTAACAGGATACCTGGAGAGGGAATTCAATTATTAGAAAATATTGCACGATTTAAATCATTAGTTGTGTAAAATTCAATTAAACAATTCCCTTTCCTGGATCAATGAAGATCAAGTTTTCCGTCTCTTCCACCCATTTGTTGTTTTGTTTACAACTCAAAGTTCACCGCCTTATTGATTTCATCTTAGTAGTGATCAACCACTTTCATTTTTTTCCTCAGTTCCTTGATTATTCTATCCGAAATATCATCACCAATATAAAGTTTCCTCAAATTGGGCATGTTCAACAAATATTTAGCTCCTTCATCTCCAATTTCACAGTGAATGACTGAGAGTTTTTGCAATTGGAGCATTCCACTAATTGCCTCGAGTCCTTTATTTCCAATTTTATTTCCCGAAAGGTTTAGTTTGGTTAAATTTTTCATTCCACTTAATGATTTTGCTCCCTCAATTCCAATATTACTGTCATAGATACGGAGATTAGTCAATTGATTTAGTTCACTTATTATTTTTGCTCCTGAATCTCCAATTTGATTATCACTAATTAAAAGTCTGGTTAATTGATTCAGTTGACCAATTGGTTTGATATCATCGAAACCTAATTTGTTTGATTGAATATGGAGACAAGTCAATTGTTTCATATTACAGATCGCCTTAATTCCTTCTGTTCTGACATTAGTCCACTGAATGCAAAGTGTTTTTAAGTGTCTCAATTGACTAACTGAAATTGCACCTCCATCCCCAATTGGATTCTCACTCATGACGAGTTGAGTTAATGTTTGAATTTCACCAATTGCTTTGGCACCTTCATCCCCAATATTATTTTTACAAATGAATAGTCTTGTCAGTTGAGGAAGTTCACTAATTTCTTTCGCACCTTGATTGCCTAGTTTATTCTTTCGAATATCGAGATAGTTTAGTCGTGTCAGATGTTTAAGTGTTTTTGCTCCTTCCTGTCCAATATTATTTTTACGAACACAAAGATGTGTTAATGAAGAATTCAAATTACTCAATGCCTTAATACCTTCATCTCCAATTTTGTTTCCACACATTTCAAGTTTCGTCAATTGTTTCATCTTTCCAATAGATTTCATTCCTTCATCTCCAATTTCAGTTCCACCAATATCAAGTTTGATTAATTGTTTCAAATTTGTAAAATATTCAGCACCTTTTGAGGTTATTGGATTGTTAAATACATTCAGTTCAGTAAATTGAGTCATTTCACTAATCAACTTGGCTTCTCATTTCCAATAAAATTATACGAAATTTCGAGTGTTTTCACTTGTTTCATTTTATGAAGAAGCTTAAACCAATTTTTCCAATCACGTCATAACAATTATCACAATAATTCGCACAAATAGTTCTGCAAGTGATTCTGTCAAACCAATTCCAATTTTGGCATTTGGCAATTTCGTCCATGTATAAATCCTTGTGAAGGTGAAATGAAAGTTTAAGTCTGTTTCGAATAACATTATACCACCGTTTTGAAACAAGCGCACATTTCATCAAAATAAATTCCACATTATTCGCAACAAATTTCAATATTTCATAACATAAATCATCAATTATTTCTAATAATTTTTTCGTTTTCTTTCCAATAATTTTCGAATAAAACTACCAACCTCCTTGTCTACTGTTGGCTACAACCAAATCTTCATCACGTTCTTCATTCAAATCACGTTCTTGCATTTTTTTCAATGAAAAACGACGATGAAAAAAATACCTCAACAAGACCATCCTCCGGATACGGAAGGGAGTAATTTGCTTGCTGACAGGATTTTTGTGTTAGAGAGAGCAATTGAAACCTACCAAAAGGAAAACAATAATCTCCGTGACTATCTTCAACAACTTGTAAATATATGTAATGGTCACCCGTTATTGAATAATAATAATAATAATCCCATCAAACCTGTAAATAATAATCTGATCAATACCCAACCATCAGAAAATGAAAATCTATTTATTACTAGAAATCCAGTAAATGTTAGAAATCTACCAACTAGTAGAAATTTAATTAATGGTGGAAATTTCTTGACTGAGACAGTTCAAATATGCGATAGTAATCCTAAAAATAGAACTGTCAGTTATGCTGATATTACAAGATTAGCTCCTATTAAAGCTCAGCCATCTATTAAGAAAACAATAGCAAAACAAAAATCAACAACTAATAAGATGAAAAGAAATATGGCAACTAATACTAGACCTAACAAACGTAAATCGAGAGTATATTAATATCCAATATCTATCCCAAACCGCTTTTTTTGGATATGGCTTTTTAAAAAGGGCAATCTGGCTAAATTTTTACGGGCTTGGCTTTTTGGATAAATCTTGGATTGGATAATATTATTTGAAAATGTGTCGTGTTTGAGCAATTGTCAACAAGGAATGCAGGCAAATCACTCTACGAATATTTATTAGATTATTATCAATACTAATTGCAATAAATCAACAATTTTTCGATATAAATTTGGAATAATTTATTTTTGAAATAATTCATTTTTTAGTGGAAATTTCTTGACTTATTTTTGGATTTAGGTTTTGGCTTTTTGGTTCAATTTGGCTTTTTGCCGATTTTTTATTCACCTATATCCAAAAACTGGTTTGGGATGGATTTTGGATATTAATATACTCTCCGTAAATCTAATTACAATCTTAATCAAATAATTAATGTAATTTGCTACAAAGATGTTACTAACGAATTTGTTGAACAAATTACAGACCTACTCGGTGACTCTGTAATCATTAGAGTTAATCGATACTGTAATAATATTATTAATGTAATTTGCCCTGATGAAACCAGTTATAAAGAGTGTTTCAATCAATTAGTGCAAGGA